AGCAAGCATTAAGACTGTGCTCATGTTTCTGAGGCTAACAAGGATCTACTTGGGAATTGGCCTGGAGACCAATTACATTCTGGCCAAGAACTTTTCTACATTTTGTCCATGTACTGAGACTTTCTGCACAGCTGAACTTAAAAAGTGATGGATTAATGAATTGGGCAGAGGAAATTTTAAGGCAGCTCGGCATTCAGGCAGTGACTTTGATATTGCTGAAAGCTTTTAGCCAAGTGTATTGTGAGAATTAAGAGCAAAAAGCAGAGAGATAAGATGTGAAAAACTCCCAGTTTGAACAGATAAGAAGTGCATGTGGTGGCTGGGGTGTGACTCAGCCGTAGGGCTCTTGCCTCTCACATGTGAGGCACTGGGTTTGATCCTCAACACCACATAAAAGTAAATAAACAAAATAAGGACACTGTATCCACATATAACTAAAAATATTAAGAAAAAAAGAAGTGCATGTAAAATTGAGGCCAAATAAAGTGTGATTATTGAAACATTTGACACCACTAAAGAGAAGCTAAGTACTTTGCATAACGAAAACAGAAAAAATGCTCTGAGGGCATCTCAGGAATCAGCAAGTTGAGGCCTATTGAAGACTGGAGGGTGTAGAAGAAAAACTTGTTCCAGAGACCAGGGGGAACCCTATCTACACAGGGGTGCCTAGGAAGTTGTTCCCCCAGGGTGCATTTCACCATGCTCAGCTGCCCAGTCTATCAGAGGCCGCTGCAGCTGTGGTCTGGAGTGGTACCGTTATTACTGGACTGGCAGCAGACATTGGCATCGTTCATGTGGGCTGGTTCTGCAGGAATGCAGAATGCCAGAGTTAGGGGGGCCCAGAACTTTCCATTGAGATTTCAAAGGAAGGCTTGGTGAGTCAGGTGAAGTGTGGCAGGGCCAGAGTCCCTGCAAGCAGGCATCACTGTGACATGTGAGGCTAAAAAATGTGAAGCTGAAGTTGGGATGAAGACCCCCAGATTAAGAGATGCCAGGAATGAGGAACATTTGCTGAGGTGCTGGCCGCTGATAGAGCCAGCATAAGAGAAAGACCATGTGAGCTGCGACTGGCAAGGCTCAAAGATGGAGCTGCCCAACCCTCTCGGATCACAGCTTGCCAGCATATGCCCCAGATGCCCAACGTGGACAGACAGGACTTGTTGCCTGGCTAGACTTCAGTTTTGCTTTGCTCCTATGCTTTCTTTATTTCCCCCTATTTTCCCCTTTTATGAATGGAAACGTTTATTTATATTGTTTATACGTTAAGTGTTAAGTTTCTTTTGATCTTGACAGGGGCTCAGAGCCAAGAGTTGGCCTTAAGTCTCAGAGGAGGCTTTGGACTTGGTCTTTCAGATGTTGCTCAAACGTTTAAGCTTCTGGGGATTCTTGTAAATGGACTGAGTGGATTTTGCACTGTGAGATGGCACGAGCTTTAGGGGGCCAGGGCCAGAATGCTCTGAGGTGTCACCCCAAAGGTCGGGAGACAAGGTGGCCATGATGAGAGGTGAAATGATCAGATTCTGAGAGCTGTAACCTCATCAGTGAGTGGATACAGTTGATGCATTAATAATTGGGAAGGACTACTGTCCCAGGTAATATCCACAGGCAGCAGGGTGTGGCTGGAGGAATAGGTCAGTGGCAGGTGTGCCTTGGGGGTTTTTACCTTGTCCCTGGTGCCTCACTTGCTCACTGTATGCTTCCTTGCTGCTATGAGGTAAGGGATGTTCCTCTGCCTCAAGGTTCTGCCTCACAGACCCAAAGCAATGGAAATGGCCAACAGTGGACTGAGCCTCTGAAACTATGAGCCAACCTAAACTTTTTCTCTCCTCTAAGTTGTTCTTTTCAAGTATCTTGGTCACAGAAAGATGACTAACATGGATATGTAATCTAATTCTCAAAAGGATTTGTGGCTGCTCCTTGAGACTAAAAAAGATGGCTGAGTCTCTGTCTCTCCTCTTACACTGTACTCCACCCTTCACAGCTGTGTCCTCCTTTGCTGCTCATCTGGTAACTCTAAACGTAGACATGGTTGTCAGGGATGTCTCTGCACGTCAGCAGCCAGCAAGGCACATGTGCTGACCATTCACAGCAGCGTCCAATCACAGCAGCGGGTGCTGACCTAAGCACCAGTGCCCCTTCAATAGCACCTGAAGCCTGCAGATCTCCAAGATCATTCGAGAAATGAATAACTTAGGAACGATGGGGTGCCTGTACCCACACAGGAAGGCTTACCATGCTACAGAGTCCAGCACACTTGGCCAGAGACACGAGTCTGGAGGAGAAGGACTGCAAAGAAACTGAAGGAGAAAAGAAACACAGGCTTTGAAGACCTGGATGTTAAACCAGGTTTTCTGGAATAAAATATCTGGTTCTCAAAGCTCTGCAGAAATGAGCAGGATCCCACTTCATAGCCCATTTGCAGATGGCCATGAGCTGCAGCTGAGGATGAAACTGACCCTGCAGGCTCTCTGTGGTGAGGCCATTTGCCTTGTTTGCCTTTTGCTTCAGCAGTGGGTCCAGCTTCCGCTAGACTTGCACACTGATGTGACGTTGACGTCGATGTCAGCAGGGTCCTGCAGGTTCCCAGGCATCCTTGGAACGCTGTGGTCCTTCTGCACTGGAAGGTCCTCAGGGCTTCTCTTCCTGTCTCCTGCACTGGAGGCGCGGCCAGGCCACGGTAGTCACCATTTTCAACAACATCCATGAAACTCCAGATACGATGAACTGCAGCTTGTCAAAATGTTGTGACAACATGTTTGTCTTTGAGAAACAAATTCCTGCCTGAAGTTCAGCTGAGCACAGTAACACCCAGCCTCTGGAAAGGCAGAGACACCTGCTGAAGGAGCCACCACTGTCACTCTCCGTCAGTCTGGCTGTCACCGTGGACAGTATTTCTTCTAGGAGGTGCGGTGGAGACAGCCTTGGTCACCAGCACATGCTGATGAAATAACAATGGGTCATGACATGACCATGGGACCAACCTTTGTTCTTCTCAGAAGAAGGAGAATAAGAGGTGGAAGTCCCCTCTCTGAATATCAAGTGCCTGCCTGCTCCCGACACCAGAAACTTCCTGGCATTTGGGAGAGGTCTGTTTGCCTTTGAGGTTATCTTCCTTTGAGGTTTTCAAATGGGGCTCACGTAGATATTTTTCATGTTGCCCTGGTCGAAAATGGGTGACCTCTAGGATCTGTCAGAAGCAGTCATGAAAGCAGTGATGTAGCTGTCCTCTGTTCCTTTATAGCCACCCCAAGTGACAGCAGTGGCACAGGACATTCTGTTCTGAGGTGTGTCATGTGACAAGGAGCAAACTTTTTTCTTTTAAGCCATCAATCCATCAATCATGCCAAGTTTTCACCTGTGACGGTTTCTTTGGCAATGAGATTAGCTCTGGTGGTAGTGATGGGGGTGCGGTGGTTTTGTATAGGAGCAATCCCAGATTTTGTTAGATCCAATTTTTTTTTCAAAGCATGCAACATGCCCCAGGGGTGGGTCCGTGGAAGGCCTTCTTCCGGACCTCAGCACTCGAGGCTTCATGCACACGGGGGAAGGGCTCAGCACAGAGGCAGCGTGCTTCACCACACGCACTGAGTCCTTCCTTTCTCCACAGCGATCTCCAGCTTCAATACAACCCATGCAAAGAGGGACCGGTGTTCATGGCCGCAGTGACAGGGAGTGTTTCCAGTGGAACAGCACACCTCAAAACCATCCCGGACATCACGAGGTGTGCACGGTGGTACTCTTGCATCTCCTGACCCAGGTTACTTTAGTGTGAAACACGATTTTTTACAGCACTACAACCCATAACAATGATTCTTTTCCCCCACAAAGACAATTTTCTACTTACGGAAAGAAAATAGAAAAAAGAAAAAAAAAACTAATTTGGTTCTAATTCAGCTAAAAAGTGAGAAAGAGATGTGATGATCATCTTAAAGAATGAAAATTCAAGAAAATATATTGAAGCTGGCAGTCTTTACCCGAGACTGAATACATATTTATGATTCTCTGGGTTGAGTAGTATATTTTTTTTAATAAACAAATTTGCAGCTGTTTCATCAGCACAGATATGAGGAAATTATTTAGAGTGGAGACAGAAGGTGAGTGAGGGATTACAGAGGATTAGAAGATCTTTTTGGACTGTCAAAACTTTTAAAGTCCATTTGCCAAATACTTGCTTCTAGGGATATGCGGATGAAGCGGAAACCAAACATCACCTAGAACGGCAGTGAGCACAGTTAAGAAGAGGAAGCATTAGGCAATGTGGATCCCACACAGGGGCCACCTATGTCACTAGCATTCCAGCAGGTAAATCTCACACTTAAAAAGCAGGGGAGGATTGCTAATAGCCAAGGTTTGCTATGTTAACACATATTCTGATAAAGGTGCATGCTGAATGTCTGTGTATTTTCATTAAGCCCTCAAGAGGCTATGAGTACCTGGTTTATAAAACCCACATTTCTACCATCTCGGGAGGCTTTCTTTCATGTCAACGTTTGAAAAACTCCTTAATGTGTAGTCATATAACCTTGGGACTTTGAATAGGCATAAATACATAACTCGATAAATAAAGTGCTAATAAGTATGATAAGCTCTCTACTATTAACCAGCCTATAAACCAGACTGCACACTTATTACCAATAACTCAGGAGCCCTGTCCTTCTATCAGTTATTCTTCATGTAATTCAAATGATGGCCTGTGGTATTGTAAGATGCTCCACTGCTTATAAATCAACTGATGAGGGCTGAAATATGACCACAGAACTTTAGGGAGGGCTACATTTACTGGCTTCTACTGATTTAACACGATCAATCCAGGTGTGGGGCAATGGCTACTACATTATTCACGTGTTGGCTCATCTGAAAACACAAACTGAGATGGCCCCTGTTATGAGCACTCTGAGAAGCCCAGAACCACAACATTGGCTTTGCACTCTTAATATATGGGCTGGGTAATGGAGAATCTGTCTTGAGATCCAGTGTAATGACTGAGTAGCGAGGCTAACCTGTGACCAGCTCCCGGATCTCCAGGTCCGTAGTCTTGCGGAGTAACCTCACCAGTGCCGGGATGCCACCGCAGTTTTTCAGAGCGATTTTGTTATCATCGTTGGCCTTTCCATACACCAAGTTCCTCAGGGCGCCGCAGGCACTGCGGTGGACTTCGGTCATCCGGTGATCCAGCAGGTCCACCAGGAGCTGTATGCCCCCTTGTCTCCTTATCTGAAAGAGCAGAGGACACGACTTTTCACCTCAGTGAGCACGGTTTCACTACCTAAAGCAAAACATGGTTATTTTTTTTTTATATGAAGAATCTGCTACAATTAATTGCACTGAACTGAATTAAGACATGCAAAGGGAAAAGAAAGCCATTAAGTGTTCCCTGATTTTATTGCCTGTACTTGCTTTAATATCCTACCAATAAAAATTTAAATGTATTTCTTTCAAGCTATAGAATTTTGGAAAGGTGATTTTCACTTTAGAATGGGTGTCTCAGACATTTCTCTCTAAAAATATGCCACACATTCACGGCATGAAGCAGATGGAGGAGCAAAAGGCAGGAGAATGGTCCCCATTCCTTAGGCTTATTAAATTTAACCACTGTCTTACAAGGCTGCAGGATTGATGCAGGAAATGCTAAAATTATGCTCTTTAATAGGGAAACACTCCAAATGATTCAAAGGAACCAGGAGCTAAATGAGAAACTGGAATCCTTGGCACAAGGAGTTTTATTTATCTCAGAAGATCTGGGAAGATGAGAATGTCACTCACAATGAGAGACAGAACATGTTGAGCTAAGTAGTTGCACTTAGGTATTTGATTAAAAACAACAACAACAAAAGCTGCATTAAATTTTCCTGTCCTTTTTACCCAGAGACAATTTTAATCTTTTACAAGTAAATGTGAAACAACCTTTGCAATGTGTTCGCAAAATGCCTGCTTTCCTTACTGCCCTTTGATGTTGGGACCTCTTTTAAAATTTAAACTGGAAGCAAAACAAAGTGGCTAGTTAACATGCAGACTATTTCACAGTTGCCAGGGGTGAAGCTGTGTCTGAACACCTCTGCATTTAACATGGGAAAATACAAGAATTCATTTTGTAACATCCTTCTCCTTTGCTTTCTTTAAACTTCAATGTTTCCCAGGGACAGAGCATTGGTATCTTCTCTGCTTAACTTTTTTATTACAGAAAACCCATCCATCTCACTGATATGCCAGGACCCATGGCCAACTCCTCCCCCCTCTCTTGGTGTTATGCAGATGCTACCTTCTCTATGAAGTTCCTCTAACCACATTGCTTAAAACTACAATCTGAACCACACCCACCCTCTGCCACAGCATCCTGGTTTAACCTTCATTGGAAACTGTGTTCTTCAGAGCCCTCGACAGGCTCACCTAATTTATTACATTTATTGTTATCAGCTGTGTCCTGTTTGAAGGCATGTTCTGGGAGGGCCAATCTCCTTGTTTGGTTCACTGATGTATTCTTATTCCTACCACAAATGCATGGCCAAGAACATAGCAGATGCCATTAGACGTTTGCTGAATAGATGAATGAGGCTAGTCAGTTACTATGTTACTAGCTACCTTAGTATTCCTCAAATTTACTTAAATAGTGCTTTTTAAGATTAAGCAATAACCTCTTCAAAAGGGTGAACACACCCTTTTGTGAAGAGCCAAGAATGTGACCTGGAGGGCCCAGCAGCAATTGCTACCTATTTACAAACAAAATGAGGGCAGGCCTCACACCTATGGTGGGACCACCCATGGGCCACCCATTCCTATATGAATGATTTTCATTCAGCCACAAGTGAGAGCAGGAAAGAAAAAACCCTCACAGAACTCATGGGCCATAAAAGTTTTCATTTTGGAAACTTTATGTACAGTACTTCAAGTATGACACCCCCACTGTGGGAGAAGCACCAGGGCAGACAGAGGAAGGACTCAAGACCACGGTGCTGAGCGGGGTACCCTCCTCCCAGGCTGTCTGCATGGCACCTGCAGATGACAGCTCCGGGGATACCAAGTCAAGCTGAGGAAAAGCAGCCAGAAACAACTTTGCCCAACTGAGAGTTCTGCCCAGTTGTACTCGCTTCGCATCCACCCCAGGAAGATGAGTTTGTATTGCTCCTTGTGTGATGCAAACTAGAAGTGTGTCCTGAAAACACATCTGGATTACATCCACCTCTACTCTATTAAGCCCTTAGAAGGGATACTGCATCTGTATGGAAAGGTTAAACTGTGAATATCCTTTTTTTTTCTATGTGTGTGTATTGAAGTTGTGTGCTTTACCTTAAAATTCTCTTGGTTTAATATTTAAATAATGATAAAGCCATTAAAAAGATAACAAACCTATTTATACAGTCAACCTGTCAGTTATATATTAAAGACAGATGGCATACAGTAAATCAGAAAACAAAACAAATTTCATCCATACCTACGTATTTTAGTTATTCTGAATATCATAATTAATATTCTAATTTATGACATTTCCCATTCATGTGACTCAATAAATTAAGCAACTAAAATATTATCCAAACTCATTAAGAGGGTAAATGAATTCAGAATGAATAAGATGAATTCTTAATAATATAATGAGATCACAATATTTTCAGTATGACCCTAATTAATTGCACATACTCAAATTCTATTGGAACCTATTTAGAGAAACACAGATAAGACCATAGCACTTTCCTTTCGCTCCTGTTTGGGGTCACCAAGTCATCTATATAAAAGCTTTGGCTTTCATGAGGTCGAATGTTGTCTTGGAATCTGAGACTCCCATTTCAGTTTTCTAAAGCCAAAGTTAGTCGGAATCAATGTTTAAATATTCCCACAGGTGAAATGGGGAGTCAGGTCTTTGCTTCCTCGTGCCCCTCCCCCACTTCCAGCAGGAACGGAGGGGAAGCCCTGCCGGGGACATCTTCTCCTGGTCTGCTCTGGAGGACCTGGGCTGTCCTCGTCCCTTCTCCGCTGCTCTTTCTTCTAGATCTTTCTTCCTCATTCTTCTTCAAGAACCCTTTAAAGTCTCCAAACAAACCTATTCTAAACATTCATAAAGAATAACTTTTTGAAACTCTACCAGGGGATGCTCTTCTTTAGAAGTGGGACCTTTACATCCTCTCCTACTCCATGTCCAGCAATCTTTTCCTGACTTTTCTCCCCCATGAGGGCTCTACATCCAGCAGGCTGAGCCCTGTCACTGCTGATGAGTTGACCCTCTCACCTCATTTCCTCAACCATCTTCATGCCGAATTCTCAAATCTCAAAAAAGTCTGGGTTTAATATAACTAAAATAAAGTCAATCAAGTTAGCTAATATGTAACCTTTACCTTTAACAACAGAATAAAATGCACTAGAAGAAAGTAAGAAAGAAATGTAAGACAGAATGCAGCAAGTGAATAAGTACCAAATGAGTGGAAGAATGGTGTAGTTGGTTGTCATGTATTCGTTACCTGTCCTTCTCCTCCTTTTTCTTTCACATTTTAAAACTCTTTTTCCAATGGGTTTTAATGCTTTTCCAATGCATTTAATGCTTTAATGCAGTTTTGGGTTCACAGCAGAATTGAGCTGAAAGCTCGGCATTCTGTGCTCCTTGCCTACACACAGGTATGACCCCCCCCCCCCAACCACCAACATTCTCTACTCTAGAGTCCTTTGGTTACAGGGGATTCACTTAATTGACTTACTGCTGTCACTCAACCTGTAAATGCTTCATAGTCCAAAGTTACAATAGGGCTGGTGTTGTGCATTCCACAGGTCTTGACAAATGTAAAATGGCATGTACCCCCACTGCAGTAGTGGATAGAATGGTTTCCCTGCCCCATAAGTCCTCTGCCTTCTGTCTATTCTCTTCCCCCTTCTCACCCCAAACCCTGGCAACTACTGATATTTTTAACCATCTCTATAGGCTTCAGTTGGAACTATATAGTACACAGCCTTTTGGACTGCTTTCTTTTTCTTAGTAGTATCCATTTAAGGTTCCTTCGTGTCTTTCCATGGCTTGCTAGCTCATTTCTTTCTAATGCTGAATAGAATTCCATTTTATGGATATACTACAATGTGACCATTCATTTAATAAAGACCATCTTGGTTGCTTTTAAGTTTGAGCAATTATGTATAAAGCTGCTATAAACCTATGTGTGAGAGCTGGAGTTGTGGCTCAGTGATAGAGTGCTTGCCTACCATGTGTGAGGCACTGGGTTTGATCCTCAGCATCACATATAAATAAATAAAGGTCCTCTGACAACTATATATATATATATATATATATATATATATAAAACCTTCTGTGTGATGGTTCTAAGCTTTTATTCCTATGGGTAAATTTCAGAGTATAATTACTGAATTATATACTGAGAGTATATTCAGTTCTTCCAAAGTGCCTATGCCATTTTTCACAGTGAGAGTTCCTGTTGCTCCATATTCCTCACCAGCATTTGGCGATGTCAGTGCTTAGATTCTGGACATTTTGTTAGGTGTGTAATGGTATATATTGTTGTGTTTCTTCTAAGACTACCTGCATGATTTAGATTTATTTATGTTAGTATAAATGATTGAATTAAAACAACCAATGTTCAAATTCATAACGGATAGGATAGCTTTGGTGCAATCTGAATTGCACAAATCCCATATCTGCTACCTTCCTGAAGCTGACAGGCTTAGAGAATGGATGGAAAGGGCTTTTCATAGGATAACCTGCATAGGTAGCTTTAGATATTTTTTATTAAATAATTCTTTGATAAGTGGCCAGATTTTGTCAGTTGTAGTTATGTCAATAGTTTACATTTATTTTTCTGCTTCGGTGAAAATTTCAGAGATCTAGAAGGTAAGACTAGTCTATAAGGAGTGAGAAAGTGGAAACTGATGGACTGAATTGACAAAAAGGAAGGAAGGAAGGGAGGGAGGGAGGGAGAAAGAAAGAGAGAGAGTAAGAAAAGGATGAAAGAAAGAAACCATGCTCTACTGCCTGTTCTGTCAGGGCATTTTAAAATCTGGTATAGACCCCGTCTTAGGAATAAAGGTTGGAATGTATGTGTTCAGGGTCTGTGATGCCCATTCAGTTCCCACCAGGGGAGAATGGAAACAGCTTCCACATCGCTCCCATCAATCCACTGTTTACAAGTGTTTTTACCATTAAAATTCCAGAGCTGAGAATACCTGAAAATCATTCAAGAGTAAGACACAGTGGGTTTCCTCCCTGCCCTTTCCTTAAAAGGCAG